GTTCCTCCCGCGGCTGCGCGTCTTCGGCTCGCAAGCGCACGTGCACTGACGCATTGCTTTAGTCTGTACAGTGGTGCTTGTGTGTGACAGGTGGGGAAGCTGTGCAACGACGCTCTCTACCAGCGAGAGTTCCTCCCGCGGCTGCGCGTCTTCGGCTCGCAAGCGCACGTGCACCAACTGCACGTGCTGCTGGTGGAGGAGGTGCAGCGCGTCTTCTCCAGCCCTTTGCGGCGCGCCGAGCAGTACGTGCAGCTGTACGTGGACGTAATCCAGCGCTGGATGGATGGGCTCGGGGCGCACGTGGTCAGCCACGTGTCGGGCGAGCTGGAGGAGGCGGTGGGCGAGGACCTGCGGGGGCGGGCGAGGGCGGCGGCCGGGGACGGCGCGCTCGCTTTCCAGGTGCGCCAACATAAGGCCACATAATGTGAATTTCCTTCACTGTAGTTGCCCACTAACCACTGATGTATTATATAAATTTATTAGAATTTATAATTTTTAATTCATTGAATTACTTATTATGACTACGAACTAACACATGTCATGTCAGGAACATTAAGAGAATACAAAATAAACAGACACTCTTCCCACACAGGTGGGCTGAGTGTCTGTTTATTTTGCGCCCAGCGCATGGCTGCAGCGCGCGTAGCAATGGCGGAAGCAGAGGCCCATATCGTCACGCACCGTGCTTCCAGGCCGAGCGCTGCGAGTGCGTGCTGCGCGCGCTCACGCCGGCCGGCGGCGCGCGCGTGCGCGTGTGCGTGCGCGGGGTGCGGCGGGGGCACCGCGCCGCCAAAGTGCTGCAGCTCCTGGACGAGCGCTGGCCCGGGCGGTGGGTGTACGTGGACGAGCAGGCGGCCGTCGACCTGCCAGCGGACGCCCTGCGCGCCGTCGCCTCCCGCAGCCGCGTCGTCGTCCTCGACGTCGACAGCGCCACTATTCAGGTGCGACCCGCTTAAGCGTCTTTCGCCCTCACCACACTTGGCGAACGATGCCTTCTCTCAGATGCGACTCGCTTAAGCGCCTTTCGCCCTCACCACACTTCGCGAACGATGCCATCTCTGAGGTGCGACTTGCTTAAGCGCCTTCCTTCCTGTTAGCACTTGACAACCAGCGCCACCATTCAGGTGTGACCCGCTTAAGCGCCTTTCGCCCTCACCACACTTGGCGAACGATGCCTTCT